ACATATGAAGAATTTTATAGTAAAGTTATTTCATCTTGTTAGGTAGCAGAAACTTGTTAATACCGGCCCATATTTTCATTGTAGAAAGAAAAGGGTAATTTATTTTCCACTTATAAAATGCTATAGGATGACAACTAAACTTCTTAAGGATTTTTCTAATCCAGAAATTGTTACATTTAACATTAGAAAGCTCCAGACCTCCAATACAAATTTTTGGCATTTCACATTTTGAAGATCTGCAACAATTTGCCCTAACCAAATGTAACAGTTTAGGTGAAATAGAATTAATAACCCATTCATCCACTCTAGGTGAGGTATCCACTTCAAAGATTTCTGAAAATTCGGAATTTTTAACAAATCTAAAACAAAAATTACACCTTTGTCAAACCAGTTTTTAATAAAGACAGATTTTTTCCCACGCAGTACATTCTAATTATTACATCTATGAGGGGAAAAATTGTGACAGAAGGCAAGCTTACAAGCGTCCAGAGCTTGCTTATGAAAATGAGCGAGCTTAACTGGGAGTTTATTGCAACTAAAATCTCAAGCTAACAAAAAATTGAAACCTCCACATTTATCAAAGATCAGTTTAGGAATATAAAACCATAATAAATTAGGGTCAGCATTCAGGCAACGTTTAATCCAACCAACTTTAAAAATTTGATTGCGAGTACTAAAGTCCAAAGCATTCACACCTCCCTCCAAAGTATTTCTAATCAGCGTCTTCCTTTTAACATATTTAGTTTTATTTTTCCACATAAATTCGATAGATGAGCATGTTTTTCGGTCAACATATAAAGACAAAGCTGGGTAAACAATCCTAGAAAGACCTTCCGCTTTAGATAGCAAAACATGACCATAAATGGTTAAATTTCTTTGTAACCAACAATTGAAAATATTCTTTGATTTTTGTATCCGTTGCGAAAAATTATCTACAATTCTATCAATCGGAGATTTACTAATTAAAATAATAGTTTTTGACCTCAATACCGTCTATTTGATCTTTACCCAGACTGTGAATGGGAATAATTTCACTCTTATTTCGATTGACTGAGAGACCAGAAGCATTAGAAAATAAATTCAAAGCATCCAAAATAACAGGAACCTGCTTCTCATCTTTTAAAAACAGACAGGTGTCATCCGCCAGTTGACTAATTAGAAAAGTGTGTTTCGCTACTAGAATACCCTGAACATCTAAGCAATGAGTGATAAAAATATTAAGAAATTCAGCTACCAATAAAAATAAAAAAGGTGAAATGGGACACCCTTGTCTGATACCCCTACTGGTCACAAACCGAGGAGAAACACCATTTACCAAAGAGACATTGCTATTAATATTTTTGTAAAGAATCTGTACTATTTTAACGAAAGAATGACCAAAACCAAACCTAAGCAGAGATTCAAACATAAACTCCTGTTCGACCGTATCAAAGGCCTTATAAAAGTCTAAAAATAAAAGAATTACTTTATCGTTTATTAATTATAGTCTAGAATATCTAACATTAACCTTATATAATTTGCTATGTGCCTGCTTTTCATGAAGCCAGACTGGGAAACAGAAACAATTTCTTCTAAGCATGGCTTCAGTCTGTTTGCATAAAGGGAAGCTAACAATTTATAATCTGAATTAAGTAAA